GACTCGATAATACATGACATTTGTTACTGTGTAAATGAAAGTGATTTGAATCTCTTGTGTTCTTGTCAGACGTGGATGACATAAAAAGACAGAGAGCCGGTGGCCTGGCAGCCATGATGTCCACCCTTCATACAACCCTCAAGTTTCACCTGGATTATCTTATTGACCAAGAATCTCTGGAGAAGATTATTGGGAAGGTAAGAAAAATATATGATAGGCTTTTAGTTGGACGACGCTTTTATCGAAGTAAATTGAACCCATTCGTCAAAGTATTATTTCGATCACTCTTTTATGAACGGAGATAATAATACACACTTTTGACTGCGTACGGTCTGGTGGATTACATGTACATGACTGAATGTTTTTGTTCACACACGTACAGGTGATGTGTAACAGCTTCGCCATCCTTGACGATGATCACCAGCAGATCGGTACAGCTCTTTATGCTCAGTACGTACACGGTACAGCAACCAGGCATTGTGGGGTCGTGTGGCGTAGCGGCAGCGTGCTCGACTCGGCACCAAGAGGTCCCGGGTTCGAGTCCTGACTTGTCACCGATCTTGTGCCTTTGGGAAAGGCACTTTACACGACTTTCCTCACTTAATTCAAGTGAAAATGAGTATATTGTCTTGTCCTGTATTCGTCCTCTGCGTTGGTGGCGGCGTAAAATAAGTTGATATAGCTTGAATGTGCTGTCACCATGTCTAGTCATGAAATGTTGGAATATAAAAACAAAAAGGTTTGATTTTCCGTCACATTTCTCAAGAAATATGATTCAGATATTTCTAGGCCTGTGAATTATTTGATAGGTGTGCTTTGTTTCGCCCCTTCAGAGCCTCCATGATCAACCACAGCTGCACCCCGAACTGCGTCCCCGTCTTTATCGGAAGCAGAATCGAAATCCGAGCAGCCAGGGTCATCTTGCCGGGTGAGGAGGTCAGACGGGGATTTTCCTTTCAACACAGATTTGATGATAATTCATGCAAAAGAAGATCTTATTTGCATAATCAGCTGTTTCTTAAACTGTAGTGGTGGTTTTGACATTTTTTTGACAGAGAATAGTTCAAGCAAGGGTTGACGGATTGTCGTGATTTTTGGAATCATACGAGAGAAGGTTGACATACGAATATGAATATTATGCAAATCAGGACCTACTTTGCATAATTGATGAGGAAATTCTATACAATTGCTGCATTCCAAGATAGGGCTATCAAAACATATGACATGTGAAATCGAGAAAGAGAGGAACATCGAAATTTCGTTATTTGGGTGGAGAAGATAGACTGATATATTTCACGAAAATGTGCATCTTTGCATAATAAATTAGAAAAAAATATGATACGCCAGTCGCTTAACATCATCTGGCGAAGGTATGACATCTTGGATTTCTATTTTTTTTAATGCCGCCGACATATCACAGGGAACTCAAAATCATATGAATGTTTTAACATAGAGCATGTCAAATCTCTTTCAAGATGTCTTAAAAACTGAAGACTGATCTTAACCTAGAAAATAAACGGACTACAAATCTAGAATTTCTCCCGAAGTGCATTTATTAATTTACGAGATTTTCTAATTTGCAGGCGACGATCTCCTACACCGACACGCTGACTCCAACACAAGAAAGGAAAGACCACCTTTCATTTTAACTACTTCTTTATCTGCCAGTGTGAGGCCTGCAACAACAAAGAGAGAGTGAGTGTTTTGTCAGCCGAACGTTTTGCTGGATGATTATGGTCTGTAATCCTCAATAAGTTGCGAGAGAGCAACCTGTATTGTTGTTTCTTGCCTTTTGATGACTTTGTTTCTTGACTTGGTGATGATGATGATGATGATGAACATCTGTGACGGCTTAACAACCAGAAGCTATCTACATGTTGATCTTGAATCCGGAATTCATTATTTTTCATACGTTGAGTTCATTTAATTTCATGATGCAGGCATTTTTATTACGTGCAATACATCAGTATAACTAATCTTGTTTCCAGGACGCAAAGATGGAATGTTTGAAATGTCCACGGTGCAGCCGGCAGATTCCTAAAACTTCCGGTGAGTGTTCCGGTCGGTTATAGTGATGGTCATTATCAATCACGGAAACGCAAACATTCACCAGTTTCCCATCCCCAGAATGCTTTGCGCAAACAGGGGGTCTACTCCTCATTTGCATAGGACAAGAAGGCATCGGAATGATCCTGGTGACGTTAAACAGCTTGTTTTTCACTGTGTTTTGAGGTGTTGGGGCATTTTATGCTCAACATTAATTAAATTACTCTGGGTCGAATCTGACAACAAATAGAGAATGAAGTTTTTGTGTTCTTTTCAACATGGAACATGTGGTTTGTAACGTTACAGCATCAGTATAGCGTTACCACTATAACGTTACAAACAATTCATTCCAAAAATTCATTCTCTATTTGTTGTCAGATTCAACCCATAGTAATTTGATTAACCTTGAGCATAAAATGCCCCGACACCTCAAAACACACTGAAAAAAAGCTGTTTAACGTCACCAGGATCATTCCGATGGCTTCCTGTCCTATGCAAATGAGGTTTAGCCCCCTGTTTTTGCTAAGCATTCTGGGGATGGGAAACTGGTGAATCAAGCGACACGTTACCATGGCAACGTAGTTGAGGTGCATGCGTATTGTGTCCGTGTCAACTGCAGGGCTCTGAGCACAAACAGCCAAATTTTCGTCGGGGTTGAATAGAGAATGTTAGCAGGATCGGCAACAGTTGGTGCAGTACTTCATCCAAGGCTTTGGCGAGATTGAGGACCACAAGACAGAGCTGTCTGTGGATGGGCCGGGTCGAAGCCGGATCAAAGCGGATCAATTTGGGTCGATCCGGACAATTTCACCCTAGTGGTAATGGGGCCTAAAAGTTAAAAAAATGTTTTAGCTTCTATGCCACGATGTTAAAGGTGCCGAGAGTGTTAAACACGTAGTCATAACGTCATCCTATGGATCGTTCTTGTTCGTCTTGTTCGGTGTCGTTATACCCTTATGTGCATTCAACCGGTTCTTATCCTGGGCAATTTTGCTTTTGTGCATTTTTTGCTGCGGATTAATTTGCATAATCATTACGTTCTTTGTGTTCATACTAACGACTCTGTTCTTGACTATTATGCAGCATTACAGTTGCTGGCCTGTTCGTGTGGCTACAAGCTTACTTCAGGCGACTTTCTTACCGACATGGAGGACATCAAAAACTTCGCGGAAAACTTGGTGAACAGCAGAAAGTCTTATGATATCCTTCAACTGTTACAACTTTCAACAAGAAACACAAGACATGGTCGCAAGCATCCTTATATCATCCTTAGGTCACAATTCCCAGTCCGGGGCCCGGTGTCAAGCCATATACACGATCCTGCCAAATACATGACTCCAACACTACTTGGGGGTTTCAATATACCTGAGACAAGGGGTGGGGCGTGGTTGTGATGTGGGAGACTACAACAAAGCTAACCCCAATCGTAAGTCTAACCCTAGCCCTGAATAATGATCCCAACTGTAACTGTAATCCTAACCCTAACTTTAATACCAACCCTAACCCTAACCCTAAACACCTGACTTCTCACGTATGTTGCAGCTCAAAGATTTAGCTCAACACGAAAAAAGTTTTTTAAAACTAATCATGAGTGCTATTTGTATATATTTTTGATATGATTTTGTTTGTTTTCACGCAAACAGTCCGGCCGGGCTCCGGTTTGGAAATGTGCCCTAAGCACTAGATAAAGTCGAAAGCGCACTTTCGTCCTCACATATATCGGTGCACAATATTTGAAATAAAATATTTCTGAAGCTTTATCCATTAGCAAAAAGTAATAAAAGCTGTCTCAAGGTAGAAGGAAGGCATTCCTCAATCGCAGAAATGCTGATAATGTATATGCCAAACGTGTATGAAATACATTTCAGATGTTAACAGAATATAATTATCATTCCTTGACAAATATCTGTTTACCCAACGAACCGGAGCACTTCCTGTATTTGTTGGAACGCTGTCTACAGTTACAGCAGGAAGTCTTCCATGATGACAATGTCACATTTGTGTCGGTCCTGGAGAGAGCTCTGGACGTCTGCGTCGAAATGGAAGAATGGCAGAATGCTCTTGAATATGCAGAAAGACTGGAAAGAATTCTCAGGTACAACCTTGCATTGTCATTTGTCCCGCCCCCTATAGTACCGTTCCAAAGCGTCAGGTGCACCATTTTTGACCTTGACATTTGTTTTTACAACAGCTACCCACATAACGAGTATCTAAAAGATCCATCTACAACCTCTCCAGTTATGACGTTGACATACATATAGACGACACGACATATATACATACACGACAGTCACTCCACCAAGCCCAAACCGAAAACATACCCTTCTGACCAGCTTTCCTCCGTTGTACATGGTTGAATACCGACTGAACGTTATGACCGTATACACCGACGAAAAGCGGGTCATAAACCATATTTTAAAAGATGGTGTGTTGTGCTTTAGAACAAACTCTCACTCACTCACTCAGGACCGCATGCTCCGGGGAGCGTAGCGCCTTTCCAAGTTGACTTCCAGCCAGTTCTGTCCTGCGCCCTCAGCCAGGCTGTAGCTGTATCAAGGCCCACTGTGCTGAGGTCTGCATTCAGCTGGTCTCCCCACCTGCGTCTGGGTCTGCCTCTGGGTCTGGACCAGCCTGCAGGCGTGGCTGCCCTCAGTAGACTGGCAGCTTCCAGGGGTGGCTCGGCTCTGGCTAAGTGACCAAAGAGTCGCAGGCGGGCCTGTCTGATCTTGTGGGAGACGGGCGGCTGACCAGTTTTTTAGAACAAACATGTGACAAAATATTTAGAGAATTAGAAACAACAATTTGTTATAAAATATCTAATAAGCCAGATGCTGATAGTCTAATTTCTTTTTTTTCTTCCAAGGGTGTATCTCCAGAACGACATAGGACTTGGTCTACTTTATAAGACGAAGGGAGTGATACAGCTACAACTCGGGAGAACCGCCGACGCAAAACAATCTTTGTTGACAGTAAGGGTTTCGATATATAAACTAATCTAATTACAAGTTACAAGTAACTAATTACAAGTGAAGCATGGTTAACAACGATGGAGTCTACTTTAGTCGTAATTACATTGTTTTGAAGATTGTCTACCCTGTATCTGGTCTAGCCTGTGATACACTCCACGAAAGGAAAACAATTCGAATGATGTTAACATTAAATACATCCGAAGTCCTTTAGTTATGATACCTTCATGTCAGGTTTCATAAGAATCAGTTGTATGTTTACCTTGGAGGCACAGGCATTGCTACAATACTACAATAGAATGTATGAAGCACTATAATACACATCAGTCTTGTCGTCCTGACGGACGATCTGCTCCAATCAAGTACGATGGGTGCGGCGGTGTGCCGCCAAAACAGCATTACTATAATAATAATTTGATAAATCTCCATGCAGATTTTTGGTGACTGCAATACAGTATGAACTTGGCAAGACAGTACCAGATTGGACAGGCAGTATCCAATGCACCACCCCTAAAGAAAACAAACAGTACAAAAAAAAGCCCGCTAAAAACGCTTTAAAACATGTCAAAAGTAATCCGAAACCTAAACCACTGCCTGGAAAGTATATAATCATAATGGAGTCTAGCTCTGTCTCAGTCCCGCAGCATTACCGTCCTTCTCTACTCATGTTTGTTTATGTCTCCTCTGCAGGCCAAGCGGCTTCTCACAGTCACACACGGATGGAGACATGACCTCGTGCAGCACATCCGGAATGTCCTCACCGACCTTGAACCAGACGACGAGACAACCTTAGACCACGAAAATGACTTTTCAAACCTTTAATATGTTGTATCTTTATGCATCCACGACACGATTTCATTCTATAGTTGGAATGTCGTGAAATAACATCGGTAGATCCTTTCAGTTGTTACTTCTTCACCGATTATTATCAAGAAAACAATGAAAAGAATAAATGGTTTCTGGCTCGTGGATTGTTGTATTTATCCAACCTTGTTGTTTCCTCACATATCTGTTTAATATGTCCTGTTGTGTAATTGATGAGCTTTATAATTTGATGTATATTGTTTTTCATTAACGCCACTGTATATGAGAGACGGGAGACAAATCGTTGGTATTGTGAAACCCCTTACATTTTTGTAATTATTTGTTATTAAACGTGTGGTCCTGTGCTTTTTACCGGACATATACTAGTATATCCGATAGGCCACAGCAAGTAATTTCTATGGATGACATCGGCGCGCGCATTAATTTTCGCCTGATTTGGGAAAAAAAAATCAAGAAATTTTGTTGCTCTCTGACAGTGGTCAACATGCCAAAAATGGGCAAAGATGTCTGTTGCCATGCCGGAAGGTGGATGGCAGATAACTATGAAGAAAGGAGACAAGAAAAGGCTCTGATTTTGTTTCTTACTTTGATGCAGTGATATGTGATGTTGGCTTTGTATTTGTGATGTTCCCACTGAATCAAAACCATTTGTACAATGATTGAGTCAAAATTTGAAAATGTAGGAACCTTGTTTTTTTCGGCCCGTCTTGTTTTATTCGCACGCTACCATTAGATTTGGAGTCTGTGGAGGATGTCATCCATAAAATTTACATACTGTGGCCTTATGTGTAGACTCTCAACATCATTTTACCAAATTTAATGCCATTCGCCCAGTCCTTTCTGATATCATGCTACTGTCCCCACTATTCTCAATAGATTAACTTTAAAAGTCTATATAACAAGACTGGCAATGAAAACATACATTGCCATGGCGACGGTGGTTGCTGTTAGGGTTATTGTTTGCATGGCACTGCCATGACACTGCCATGATGGTACCTGTTAAGTCTAGACAGATACAGTGCACTCCTCCCCTGAGTGTATAGTGAACGAGCCCCGGGGTCACAGAAAGCAGGGCCATAGGGCAGACAGATCTTCCCAAGGGTTTATAGGAATGTGGGCATAGATGTGGGTCAGAGACATGCCTGTGGACATTCCGCATGCCTGTGGACAAAATGCTAACCATTCACTGGGTACGGCATGTGGGGAATGTGGCTAGAATGTGGGACATACACTTGACATACAATTCCTACCTAGTGAAATTCCAGGAAACCCTTGGGACATTGTGGAAATTGTACAGATTGACAAGACTCCCATGATGTTCATGAAGTCGGTACAGATTCACAAGACTAAAAATTCTTGTGAATCTGTACCGACAGTCTTCTGAGCTCTGCTGCATTTAAACAGGTACTATTATTATGATATCTTTCTCTTCTATTATAATAATTGAGAAGTTTATTGCAAATTCATGCTCAGAGGCTAATCGTCAGTTACAAACATAAAAGGACATTGAAGAACAGTATATAAAATAACTAAAATCTACATGATGAAAGGTAGTTGTCTAAAATTGTAGCTATGTCTAAAACTATGTCTGAAGGGTTTGACTTCCCTTTTGAAAACTGTAGAAGCTTCGAAGACATCATCAGTGCATATCTGTAAGTCTCCTTCTCAGCATTTCCCCAACATGTTCAGATTCACAATGTGATCGACTTTACTCACAGAAGTAATTCTAAAATGTCTTTAGAGGTTGTAGTTTATTCACCTGGAAGGCATGTGGGAAAGGAATGTGAGCAAAAATTTAGGACTTCCACTTAGAAGGCTTGAAGACTTCCACTTGGAAGGAATGTTGTAAGGCATGTGCGAATGCATGGAAGCAAGAATGTAAAACTTCCACTTGGAAGGCATGTGGGAATGGCAAGAATGTAAAACATCCACTTGGAAGACATGTGGGAATGAGGGCCAGAAAGTAGGACATCCATAACTTTGAACAGCGCATGTGCAGACAGGCATTGACGACATGCCACAAATCCCTAGGGTTTACAGCGCATGTTAAGAATGCAGGCATAGCAACCATACCACTATATGTCCCACCGGTTTTCAACGCATGACGAAGGGCAGGCATTGTACAAATTCCACGTTGTTCCAAATCGAACAGCTCCCGAATGAAACGTCGTTGTTCTCATCAGGAGAAACCACTAAGCGCTTAAATCGTAAATGGCAACAACACATCTGAGTAACCTACAATTTAAAGACGACCACCCGCGTTTCACGGACTGGACTTGACAGTTACAGGATATATTGCTGAGGTGGCTAACTGGGCACGCAGAGGACCAACGTTCTGGGCGGAAATAGTTCACATAGGACTGTGTGACAGCCGGAGAGGAATTATTGTGCAAGCCAAAACTGATGATCTTGGGCCTGAAAAAAAGGTTTCCCTTCTACTAGTTTTCAAAAAGTCATCACATGGCAGAAGGTGCGAATGACCCCTTGCAGTTGTCGTTTTTGGGTGGTATTTTTTCTAACCGGAGGCCTTCCGCAAGCGCCCTATGGCCAGGCAAACTTAAGGTAATGTAACAGGAAATCCATTTAAGGCTAAATAAAGCCGTATAAAACACCTGTGTCGATGGTCTTACAGAAGTACAAATCTCTCTCTGGTGTAGATAGTATGCAGATGTATTGTCATATATCATGCATGATTAATTTTACGGCATACTTAGGACTGCATGCACAAAAAAACTCTAAAATACATGTGTACTTCTACATTGTCCTATATCAAAATTGATCTAGTCAATATATTTGGTTATGCCAACCAACGTCAACAACCTATCAATGTCAACCTCTGATGTGTACAACATATATGTAAGTGCATTTATGTTCGTGAGGAGTTAACTTCGCGATATACCTAGCCTATCCTAGCTAACTGATCTCCGTGTCAACAGTTTGAATTTGTAATGAAATAGAAATTTATATGAACAATCCTTTCCATTCATGAAGAGTTGTTATATTTAGAACTTCTTGTAAAACGGTAGCACAAAACATCTAATATGTGTAATAGTCTATACACAACGCAAGCTTCAAATGCGCTAGTTTGCTAGAAACGGGTCACATGATAATATTGTACTCGCCGATTTTTTTTAACTTATAGATATCAACTTGAATGTATCCCAACCATGCGACTCAATAGAAGCTTGGTGGAAAGACAGCGTGTGTCATTTTCCAAATTCCAGTAGAGTAGTATTTACACAAAAAACGCGCATGGTCTCTATAAATTATATTAACATTTAAGATACATTTATTAAAGTCTATGTCTTGTGCTGACTTACGTAGAATTCATCATAGGATTCATCATTGAACATGGCAAACTTACCATCCAGGACACGCGTTAATAGATCGGCCCGGTTACAGTCGTAGAATTAAAACAGTCAATTACACTCTACGAAAAATGGGCATGCGGGGCCCTCCTTAAAATGCTATTGTCTATTGTCATAACAGATCCTAAAACAACACACACTTTGACTAGTGTTGGCAACTTCTTTGACTAGTGTTGGCAACTTAAAAAAACTAACTCCAAATCACGACCTTGACAACTAGACATAGATAATGTATATGGCAAACTTACCTATCCAACGGACACTCAACACAAGCGGCTACCTGGTACTACAACAGCACATCTGATCACTATCGACTGTACTCACAGAAGTAATTCTAAAATGTTTTAGGAGTTTGTAGTTCATTCACTTGGAAGGCATGTGGGACAGGAATGTGAGCAAGAATGTAGGACATCCACTTGGAAGGCATGTGGGAAGAAATGTGGGAAGAATGTAAAACTTCCACTTGAAAGGCATGTGGGTATGTGGGCAAGAATTTAGGACTACGTAGGAATGTGTCCATAAAAGTGTGCCATCAACATGCCTGTAGACATGCCATGCCTGTGGAAAAAAAATGCCTGTGCAATTCCTAGAATTCTTGCAAACTACACACAATACTGTGCCATTAGGCTCCCCCCTGAGGCGTCGCCAAAAATTAAAAAAATGTCTTGTAGCATTGTATGAACCATTATTTATTCATGAGAAGCTCAAATCAGCCAGCAGGCCGCTTTTGATTGAGGTCATGAGGGAAGAGGTAAGGGTCAGACAAAATATATAACAAAGATACAGTTTACATCATTTAAAAGTCTTAATATATCTATACACATATCTTCAAACATACGCGTTACCCAGAATATAATGTATTTAATTTCATTATCGCGACATTAGATTCTGGTAACTGAACTAATATGAATAACACATGTAACGCAGCACATAGTGACAAGTTATCCACAGGAAATGTGTTTTCTCTACTGGATAGGGATTTTCCATGAGAAACACGCCATCACCAAGTTATACGTTCATCCATAGATAACCGTCACAAAACTTTTAGCGCACAAGATGTGAAGCTCAAATGGAGGAGCAATTTCTGTTGCATCAGATTGGTCTACTCATGTTCAGTCGTGCACTGGGAAAGTAGCCATCTACACGTTCGTAGCCACTTCGAAATTATACGTGTATCCATAGATAACAATGTCACAAAACGTTTAGCCCACAAGATGTTAAGCTCAAATGGAGGAGCAATTTCTGTTGCATCAGATTGGTCTAACTCATGTTCAGTCGTGCACTGGGAAAGTAGCCATCTACACGTTCGTAGCCACTTCGACAACTGAAAGATGATGAACCCGTGTATTGTCATCACCTAGACGTGTCCTTCTTGTGTCAAAGCATTACTGACGGCAGAACAAGGGCCGGTGTCACTTTGTGTTGAAAACAGGAATGGTAACGGTGACCGGCCTCCCTTTGAAGTGTGAATCTATTTGATAGAGCCCCTTCACTTCCTTGGGCGGGTTGTATCTGCTGGGGAAAAACACCCCTCCGCCGTGATGGGTGAAAATATTGGCCTGGTCTTTGTAGAGGTCCGCCAAGACGGGCGGTGGAGAGAAGGGCTTCCTGGGTCTCTTTCTCCTGAGGATCAGATAAGAATGCAAATATGCTTTTGAATATCAAGGAAAAGGAAAAAAAATCAATTGCTGTATTACAGCGACTTTGTTACCATGCAGAAGGTGCTAAAGTACAAGTTAATAGAGCGAGTTGGGCTCACTAATAAAATTTTGGCGCCAGCATATTCATGTGAGTACTAAGGTGGACAAAGGTGGACAGTAATATCATTAATCTATCGTCCTAGATTATTCCTCTAGCATCCATTAAACAAAGGTGGACAGTAACATTGCACAAAGGTATAAAATTTGACATCCAATGAAAAATTGAACGTACTTCTTTTTCTGAACAGGCTGTTCTTCATCACCATATATATCCATCGATACAGGTCGTGCCTTTAGAAGGGGTAGAAGAAGAAACAGGCATGCTAGAATAATGGCTGTAAGCAACAGTGCAGCGCCAACGGCTGCTCCGGCTGCTATTGCAGGGATGTTGTTGACTGGACCTGGGCTTTCCTTCGTGACGTTATGACCTGTTGTTGATATCGGCGGCAATACACTGGATCGAGCCGGCAAAGTCTGTGCCAAAGAGGTCTGCTGAGGTCCTGTTATTGTAACATATGTGTTACTTCCCGGCCGCACGGTTGTAGGGGAGCGAGTAAAATTACCAGTGACAGACGAAACTGCTGGAGTAGATGACGAAATTTTAAATGTGCTTTCTGTCAAGTTCGAAATTTTACTGACCGCAGATGAAATAGTCATCGTAGCAGTAGAAGCATTAACGAAAGGTCTGTCAGTAGTTGTTAATAAAAATGAGTCCAAAGTTGTTGTTGGGGCTGTAAAGATACTTGCTACTTGGGATGATGTAGCTATATTTGTTGGTTGGGCTGATGACTCAATAGTTGTTAATGGAGCTGATGTGGTCATAGTTGTTGGTGGGGCTGATGTGATCATAGTTGTTGGTGGGGCTGATGTGATCATAGTTGTTGGTGGTTCTGATGTGATCATAGTTGTTGGTGGTTCTGATGTGATCATAGTTGTTGGTGGTTCTCGATGTGATCATAGTTGTTGGTGGTTCAGATGTGAACATAGTTGTTGGTTGGTCTGATGTGACCATAGTTGTTGGTGGTTCTGATGTGATCATAGTTGTTGGTGGGTCTGATGTGATCATAGTTGTTGGTGGTTCTGATGTGGTCATAGTTGTTGGTGGTTCAGATGTGATTATAGTTGTTGGTGTTTCAGATGTGATCATAGTTGTTGGTGGTTCTGATGTGACCATAGTTGTTGGTGGTTCTGATGTGATCATAGTTGTTGGTGGGGCTGATGTGATCATAGTTGTTGGTGGTTCAGATGTGATCATAGTTGTTGGTGGTTCTGATGTCATCATAGTTGTTGGTGGGGCTGATGTGATCATAGTTGTTGGTGGGGCTGACGTGATCATAGTTGTCGGTGGGGCTGATGTGATCATAGTTGTTCGTGGGGCTGATGTAATCATAGTTGTTGGTGGTTCTGATGTGATTATAGTTGTTGGTGGTTCTGATGTGATCATAGTTGTTGGTGGGGCTAATGTATCCATAGTTGTTGGTTGTTCTGATGTAACCATAGTTGTTGGTGGTTCTGATGTGATCATAGTTGTTGGTGGTTCTGATGTGATCACAGTTGTTGATGGGGATGATGTGATCATTGTTGTTGGTGGTTCTGATGTAACCATAGTTGTTGGTGAGGCTGATGTGATCATTGTTGGAGGGGCTGATGTGATCATAGTTGTTGGTGGGGCTGATGTATCCATAGTTGTTGGAGGGGCTGATGTGATCATAGTTGTTGGTGGTTCTGATGTGGTCATAGTTGTTGGTGGGGCTGATGTATCCATAGTTGTTGGTGGGGCTAATGTGATCATAGTTGTTGGTGGTTCTGATGTATCCATAGTCGTTGGTGGTTCTAATGTGATCATAGTTGTTGTTGGGGCTGATGTGATCATAGTTGTTGGTGTGGCTGATGTTTCCATAGTTGTTGGTGGTTCTGATGTATCCATAGTCGTTGGTGGTTCTAATGTGATCATAGTTGTTGTTGGGGCTGATGTGATCATAGTTGTTGGTGTGGCTGATGTTTCCATAGTTGTTGGTGGGACTGATGTATCTATAGTTGTTGGTTGGGCTGATGTATCCATAGTTGTTGGTGGGGCTGATGTCATTATGGTTGTTGGTGGGGCTAATGTGATTATAGTTGTTGGTTGGGCTAATGTGATCTTAGTTGTTGGTTGGGCTGATGTGCTCATAGTTGTTTGTGGCGCTGATGTATGCATAGTTGTTGGTGGCGCTGATGTATCCATAGTTGTTGGTGGCGCAGATGTATCCATAGTTGTTGGTGGGGCTGATGTAATCATAGTTGTTGGTGGGGCTGATGTGATCATAGTTGTTGGTGAGGCTGATGTATCCATAGTTGTTGGTGGGGCTGATGTAATCATAGTTGTTGGTGGGGCTGATGTAATCATAGTTGTTGGTGGTTCTAATGTGATCATAGTCGTGGGTGGTTCTGATGTGATCATAGTTGTTGGTGGTTCTGATGTGATGATAGTTGTTGGTTCGGCTGATGTGATGATAGTTGTTGGTGGCGCCGATGTATCCATAGTTGTTGGCGGCGCTGATGTATCCATAGTTGTTGGTGGCGCTGATGTATCTATAGTTGTTGGTTGGGCTGATGTGATCATAGTTGTTGGTGAGGCTGATGTAATCATAGTTGTTGGTGAGGCTGATGTAATCATAGTTGTTGGTTCGGCTGATGTAATTATAGTTGTTGGTGGCGCTGACGTATCCATAGTTGTTGGTGGCGCTGATGTATCCATAGTTGTTGGTGGCGCTGATGTATCCATAGTTGTTTGAGGGGCTGATGTGACCATAGTCGTTGGTGGGACTGATGTATCCATAGTTGTTGGTGGCGCTGATATATCCATAGTCGTTGTTGGGGCTGAGGTTTCCATAGATGTTGGTGGCGCTGATGTATCCTTAGTTGTTGGTGGGACTGATGTATCTATTGTTGTTGGTTGGGCTGATGTGATCATAGTTGGTGGTTCTGATGTGATCACAGTTGTTGGTGGTTCTGATGTGATCACAGTAGATGGTGGGGCTGATGTGATCATAGTTGTATGAGGTTCTGATGTGACCATAGTTGTTGGTTGGGCTGATGTGATCACAGTTGTTGGTGGGGCTGATGTGACCATAGTTGTTGGTGGTTCTGATGTGATCATAGTTGTTGGTGGTTCTGATGTGATCATAGTTGTTGGATGGGGCTGATGTATCCATAGTTGTTGGTGGGGCTGATGTGATCATCATTGTTGTTGGGGCTGATGTGATCATAGTTGTTGGTGGGGCTGAAGTGACCATAGTTGTTGGTGGTTCTGATGTAATCATAGTTGTTGGTGGCTCTGATGTGATCATAGTTGTTGGTGGGGCTGATGTGATCATAGTTGTTGATGGGGCTGATGTGATCACAGTTGTTGGTGGGGATGATGTGATCATAGTTGTCGGTGGGGCTGATGTAATCACAGTTGTTGCTGGGGCTGATGTGATCATAGTTGTTGGTGGGGCTGATGTGATCACAGTTGTTGGTGGGGCTAATGTGATCATAGTTGTTGGTGGTTCTGATGTGATCATAGTTGTTGTTGGGGCTGATGTAATCATAGTTGTTGTTGGTTCTGATATATCGATAGTTGTTAATGGGGCTGATGTGATCATAGTTGTTTGTGCTGCTGATGTGATCATAGTTGTTGGTGGTTCTGATGTGATCATAGTTGTTGGTGGGGCTGATGTGACCATAGTTGTTGGTGGGGCTGATGTGATCATAGTTGTTGGTGGTTCTGATGTGATCGTAGTCGTTGGTGGTTCTGATATGATCATAGTTGTTGGTGGGGCTGATGTATCCAGTAGTTGTTGGTGGTTCTGATGTCATCATAGTTGTTGGTGAGGCTGATGTGACATAGTTGTTGGTAAGCTGATGTATCCATAGTTGTTGGTGGGGCTGATGTGATCATAGTTGTTGGTGGGGCTGATGTGATCATAGTTGTTGGTGTGGCTAATGTGATCATAGTTGTTGGTGGTTCTGATATGATCATAGTTGTTGGTGGGGCTGATGTGATCACAGTTGTTGGTGGGGCTGATGTGATCATAGTTGTTGGTGGGGTTGATGTGATCATAGTTGTTGGTGGTTCTGATGTGATCATAGTTGTTGGTGGTTCTGATGTGATCATAGTTGTTGGTGGTTCTGATGTGATCATAGTTGTTGGTGGGGCTGATGTGATCATAGTTGTTGGTGGGGCTGATGTGATCATAGTTGTTGTTGTTCTGATGTAACCATAGTTGTTGGTGAGGCTGATGTGATCATTGTTGGAGGGGCTGATGTGATTATAGTTGTTGGTGGTTCTGATGTGGTCATAGTTGTTGGTGGGGCTGATGTATCCATAGTTTTTGGTAGGGCTGATGTATCCATAGTCGTTGGTGGTTCTAATGTGATCATAGTTGTTGTTGGGGCTGATGTGATCATAGTTGTTGGTGTGGCTGATGTTTCCATAGTTGTTGGTGGGACTGATGTATCTATAGTTGTTGGTTGGGCTGATGTATCCATAGTTGTTGGTGGGGCTGATGCCATTATGGTTGTTGGTGGGGCTAATGTGATTATAGTTGTTGGTTGGGCTAATGTGATCTTAGTTGTTGGTTGGGCTGATGTGCTCATAGTTGTTTGTGGCGCTGATGTATGCATAGTTGTTGGTGGCCGCTGATGTATCCATAGTTGTTGGTGGCGCAGATGTATCCATAGTTGTTGGTGGGGCTGATGTAATCATAGTTGTTGGTGGGGCTGATGTGATCATAGTTGTTGGTGAGGCTGATGTATCCATAGTTGTTGGTGGGGCTGATGTAATCATAGTTGTTGGTGGGGCTGATGTAATCATAGTTGTTGGTGGTTCTAATGTGATCATAGTCGTGGGTGGTTCTGATGTGATCATAGTTGTTGGTGGTTCTGATGTGATGATAGTTGTTGGTTCGGCTGATGTGATGATAGTTGTTGGTGGCGCCGATGTATCCATAGTTGTTGGCGGCGCTGATGTATCCATAGTTGTTGGTGGCGCTGATGTATCTATAGTTGTTGGTTGGGCTGATGTGATCATAGTTGTTGGTGAGGCTGATGTAATCATAGTTGTTGGTGAGGCTGATGTAATCATAGTTGTTGGTTCGGCTGATGTAATTATAGTTGTTGGTGGCGCTGACGTATCCATAGTTGTTGGTGGCGCTGATGTATCCATAGTTGTTGGTGGCGCTGATGTATCCATAGTTGTTTGAGGGGCTGATGTGACCATAGTCGTTGGTGGGACTGATGTATCCATAGTTGTTGGTGGCGCTGATATATCCATAGTCGTTGTTGGGGCTGAGGTTTCCATAGATGTTGGTGGCGCTGATGTATCCTTAGTTGTTGGTGGGACTGATGTATCTATTGTTGTTGGTTGGGCTGATGTGATCATAGTTGGTGGTTCTGATGTGATCACAGTTGTTGGTGGTTCTGATGTGATCACAGTAGATGGTGGGGCTGATGTGATCATAGTTGTATGAGGTTCTGATGTGACCATAGTTGTTGGTTGGGCTGATGTGATCACAGTTGTTGGTGGGGCTGATGTGACCATAGTTGTTGGTGGGGCTGATGTGATCATAGTTGTTGGTGGTTCTGATGTGATCATAGTTGTTGGTGGGTCTGATGTAGCCATAGTTGTTGGTGGTTCTGATATGACCATAGTTGTTGGTGGGGCTGATGTGATCATAGTTGTTGGTGGGGCTGATGTATCCATAGTTGTTGATGGTTCTGATGTCATCATAGTTGTTGGTGGTTCTGATGTGATTATAGTTGTTGGTGGTTCTGATGTGATCATAGTTGTTGGTGGTTCTGATGTGACCATAGTTGTTGGTGGTTCTGATGTGATCATAGTTGTTGGTGGTTCTGATGTGATCATAGTTGTTGGTGGGCTGATGTATCCATAGTTGTTGGTGGGCTGATGTGATCGTAGTTGTTGGTGGGCTGATGTGATCATAGTTGTTGTTGGGCTGAAGTGACATAGTTGTTGGTGGTTCTGATGTGATCATAGTTGTTGGTGGGGCTGATGTGATCATAGTTTTGGTGGGGCTGATGTGATCATAGTTGTTGGTGGGGCTGATGTGATCATAGTTGTTGGTGGTTCAGATGTGATCATAGTTGTTGGTGGGGCTGATGTGATCATAGTTGTTGGTGGTTCTGATGTGATCATAGTTGTTGGTGTGGCTGATGTGATCATAGTTGTTGGTGGGGATGATGTATCCATAGTTGTTGGTTGTTCTGATGTAACCATAGTTGTTGGTGAGGCTGATGTGATCATTGTTGGAGGGGCTGATGTGATTATAGTTGTTGGTGGTTCTGATGTGGTCATAGTTGTTGGTGGGGCTGATGTATCCATAGTTTTTGGTAGGGCTGATGTATCCATAGTCGTTGGTGGTTCTAATGTGATCATAGTTGTTGTTGGGGCTGATGTGATCATAGTTGTTGGTGTGGCTGATGTTTCCATAGTTGTTGGTGGGACTGATGTATCTATAGTTGTTGGTTGGGCTGATGTATCCATAGTTGTTGGTGGGGCTGATGCCATTATGGTTGTTGGTGGGGCTAATGTGATTATAGTTGTTGGTTGGGCTAATGTGATCTTAGTTGTTGGTTGGGCTGATGTGCTCATAGTTGTTTGTGGCGCTGATGTATGCATAGTTGTTGGTGGCCGCTGATGTATCCATAGTTGTTGGTGGCGCAGATGTATCCATAGTTGTTGGTGGGGCTGATGTAATCATAGTTGTTGGTGGGGCTGATGTGATCATAGTTGTTGGTGAGGCTGATGTATCCATAGTTGTTGGTGGGGCTGATGTAATCATAGTTGTTGGTGGGGCTGATGTAATCATAGTTGTTGGTGGTTCTAATGTGATCATAGTCGTGGGTGGTTCTGATGTGATCATAGTTGTTGGTGGTTCTGATGTGATGATAGTTGTTGGTTCGGCTGATGTGATGATAGTTGTTGGTGGCGCCGATGTATCCATAGTTGTTGGCGGCGCTGATGTATCCATAGTTGTTGGTGGCGCTGATGTATCTATAGTTGTTGGTTGGGCTGATGTGATCATAGTTGTTGGTGAGGCTGATGTAATCATAGTTGTTGGTGAGGCTGATGTAATCATAGTTGTTGGTTCGGCTGATGTAATCATAGTTGTTGGTGGCGCTGACGTATCCATAGTTGTTGGTGGCGCTGATGTATCCATAGTTGTTGGTGGCGCTGATGTATCCATAGTTGTTTGAGGGGCTGATGTGACCATAGTCGTTGGTGGGGCTGATGTATCCATAGTTGTTGGTGGCGCTGATATATCCATAGTCGTTGGTGGGGCTGAGGTTTCCATAGGTGTTGGTGGCGCTGATGTATCCTTAGTTGTTGGTGGTTCAGATGTGATCACAGTTGTTGGTGGTTCTGATGTGATCACAGTTGGTGGTTCTGATGTGATCACAGTTGTTGGTGGTTCTGATGTGATCACAGTTGTTGGTGGTTCTGATGTGATCATAGTTGTTGGTGGTTCTGATGTGATCATAGTTGTTGGTGGGGCTGATGTGATCATAGTTGTTGGTGGGGCTGATGTGATCACAGTTGTTGGTGGGGCTGATGTGACCATAGTTGTTGGTGGGGCAGATGTGATCACAGTTGTTGCTGGGGCTGATGTGATCATAGTTGTTGGTGGGGCTGATGTGATCACAGTTGTTGGTGGGGCTAATGTGATCATAGTTGTTGGTGGTTCTGATGTGATCATAGTTGTTGTTGGGGCTGATGTGATCATAGTTGTTGTTGGTTCTGATATATCCATAGTTGTTAATGGGGCTGATGTGATCATAGTTGTTTGTGCTGCTGATGTGATCATAGTTGTTGGTGGTTCTGATGTGACCATAGTTGTTGGTGGGGCTGATGTGATCATAGTTGTTGGTTTGGCTGATGTGATCATAGTTGTTGATGGGGCTGATGTGATCATAGTTGTTGGCGGTTCTGATGTATTATAGTTGTTGGTAAGGCTGATGTATCTATAGTTGTTGGTGGTTCTGATGTGATCATAGTTGTTGGAGGGGCTGATGTGATCATAGTTGTTGGTGGGGCTGATGTGATCATAGTTGTTGGTGGGGCTGATGTGATCATAGTTGTTGGTGCGGCTGATGTGATCATAGTTGTTGGCGGCTGATGTATCCATAGTTGTTGGTGAGGCTGATGTATCTATAGTTGTTGGTGGTTCTGATGTGATCATAGTTGTTGGTGGGGCTGATGTGATCATAGTTGTTGGTGGGGCTGATGTGATCATAGTTGTTGGTGGAGTTGATGTATCCATAGTTGTTGGTGGGTCTGATGTAACCAGCTGCAGAAGCTTTCTTACGCGGTGAACTTGAACTTTTGTTTTCGTACTTTGTTTTAAGATACGAACTTGTTTATCTGCCTTGCTGTTGATCTTACGGAGATGTTCGACATAATGTTTTCTATGCATCCTTGATGCGTTGGATTTTGTTTTACACTTTTTCTGTTTTGTTTTGAGTGTAATTTGTTGTCGTAGAAGTTGAATGTTCTTTTGTGTTGTCTTTGGTGATGTTCTGGTAGTAGAATGATTCCTTATGTCTGTGTTTGGCAAACGTATTTCCCAAAAAATATCCCTGACGAAGTCCCTTTTCAATGTGGATTTTAATTGCTCTCCTGTCATCTGCTGTCCATTGGGCTGTCCTTTTTTCTCTTCTACAGACTGACCTTTTACAGACAATAGTGTGAGCCCCATAGTTCTGTTTTCCATTCGTACCCGAGCAGGAAATAAAACGACGAGTGCAGAAATAGCAAAAAACACCCACATTACGGAAGATATGCGGATATTCCTTTGTTGTGGGGACATTGGTCCAACAGTCGGACGCAGACATGTTTTCCCACCCATAGGGGCCTGTTCCTTTAATTGACATTCGCGTTGCAGACTTCCATTGGAAAAAATATGCTGGTCTGCTGGTCGAATACCTAAGTGTGTAAATAATTAAAACCATGTAAATATGATCCATAGGATCATAGTAACCCATCCAAGCATTATAATTGGGTTTTAAAAATTAACAGAACGCCGCCGTAACAACAAGTTACCTGGAAGGGTAGTGAGGTTACGAAGAAAAGTAGGGCAACGTAGCAACGTATTTGTAAGGTAACACACACACACACGTGCACAAACACACACACACACACACACACACACACACACACACACACGAGACACACGTACAGAACCACACACACACGTGCACTAGCACATACACACACACACACACACACACACACACACACACACACACACACACACACACCACACGTGTGCACAAGGAAACATACACACACACACGCACACACACACACTACAGAACTACAGACACACGTGTACAACAAGCACACACGCGCACAGGCACATACACACACAAACAATACACATACAAACACGCAGCCTCCATAGCATGCCAAAAACTGGGGGTTTGGGGGGTCTTAATGGCCTTTGGGAGCTTTTATGTGCTATTTTCTGATTGTATATAGACAGCATAGCCGGCCTGGTTGAATTAACCCCGTTTTTAGAACTTTGCTAATCAGAAAATAGCCAAAGACCACCAAACCCCTGGTTCAAACACCCTTGCACAAGCAAATTCACACACACAGAAACACACACATTCACATGTAGTCAATTAAACGCCAGTGAAGGTATAACATGCCTTTAGGGGATAATTATAACGTACAGAGGTGAGACTCGGTCACTTTAGGTCAAGGAAGAACTCTAACCCATTTGCTGCCATCAACAACACGATATGATACCAACAATATGCATTTATTAACGTACGTTATGGTTAATATTCAGTCATGATACAACGGTTCCTTTGAAAGTTGAACCTGAGTGCCACACGCATACGTCCCACACGCGCTCAACTATTTACGTTTTACTTACGCCTCGGTTGGCTACAGACAATTTTTCAATGAAGCAGAACTCTACCGAATTCGCTACAATACGTGTACACTGCACGAAGTGATGTCTGTTATCCGCTCTGGATCTGGTAAGCTTATACAATAAATAGCATGAAACTTTGACGAGCACTGTGTAAGGTAAACAAGGAGTCTTCAAACCATCTACAAGTTGTCGCCACTTACTGATATTTACCCGATAAGAAAGTTTACATTACGTTACGTTAATTTCAACAGAACTAAAGGGGATTATAATAACAGGAAGTGTCTGACCTTGTCCAATAACCTGGCCTGATCCAAGACTATATTTCCCCGCACAGAAGAGTGAATACTACATCTGTATAAACACATTGTAAACTGAGTCTGAGTGGACCATGCAGTATAGTGGAAGACGCCCTGTTTTGAAGTTAACGCCCTTGGTTATATACGGAGCCGAGGTCGCGAGACTGAGGTCGCGAGCTTGCTAGTCAAGTTTTGGCGCCGAAGGGTCACCAATCTCAGTTTACCTTTGCCATAACTCCCGCAGCTGATCTGAACATTCCGTCTCGTATACTGTCGTTGCAATTTTAAACGGTCGATCACTGTAGGGCTGCGAACCTACACATGACATTAGGTACAGGTACCGGTGCAGAGGTTTAGGTACAGGTCCGGACCTGTACCTGTATCTGGACAATTTGACAAATATTCTCCTGAACGTCCTCAATAGCATCAAAAGTAGTAATAAACCTGACAGAATATTTATCCCGATAAAACAGAACAAGCTGGCATTATGCCATTATATTAAAAGAGAACCATATGGACCGTTCTTTGCTGCATACAATACTCGAGCTGCTCTTGAAAGACCTGTTGCATATTAGTGATACTTCATTTAGATGTCATTTTGGTATGTACCGGTACTTAGTGATTCGGTATTTTGGACCTGTACCTAATCGATTTTGCGGTTCTGTACCAGTATACAGAAACGGTACGCAGCCCAGGGTCGATGCCTTGTCCCAGAACGGTAGACTTTCAAATATCGGCACTGTGATATTTCGTGGTGTAGAGGATAAGGCTTTGTAACCCGGATTCGAATGCGAGCCTTTGCTCTTTCTTTTTGGCAAAACATTTTTTTCACGATGCTGTCGTACATTTTCAATTAAAACGTTGCTTTGCCATTGTACCTCTCTTGTGAAATTTCTGGGGGATGTAGAATTTGGATAAAACAACATGTTGATACAGAAGTTAAGCTCACACCCAGAATTATCATACATGTACTAGGCATTTCAGTTAATCATCCTATTGTCCTTAATATATTGTTATTGATATTAAAACTCTCTATATATAAAAACAGACAGTTTAAGTTGGTCACGATTAAGGGCTTTACATGTTATGTTAAATACTATCATAAATTAGAATATGTGATAGCACAAAACTGTGGGAAAATGGATAAACATATGTTGAAATGGGGTCCACTATATGGTTAATTGTTAGACTGATGTATTGTTTGCAAAATGTCTCTGGGTATTTATTTTCTTGTATGTGAACATGTCCTTTGTCTTTATTCTTTGAAATTATAATAAAGATTATTTGGAAAAAAAAACGTTGCTTTAAATTTTTCTTCATATTTTAGTTATGATAAGTTTGGATATGGCATCGATCGGTCAGCGATATGGCATTTA